GGAGTATCATTTGTGAGACGTGCTGATGAAATGAGTTACTTCTCGCAATCCACAAATGGAGATGTTGGCCAAAAATCGACTCTTGGGTCAAATTTGTACATTTTCAATTTGATACTCTATTCTTTAAGTATAACACGCCTTTTATTATTTCATACTTACAAATTGTAAAAACTTCACCTATAAGCGCGATGTATCTATTTCCTTGGGGGTTGATTCCGAGAAGTAACTCATTTTGTCAGTACGCTTCACATTTATACATTTATAGAAAATTACATATTTATGTATCCCCATGGGGGGGAATTTGAGCCGCATCGGCGAACAGACATAAATACTTACTTACTTTACTTTACTTTTTTCTTCCGCTTGTACCCTGGGGTGTCGCGGGGAGACACAGGTGTCTGTCTGCAGCAAGTCGTGTGGCCTGTAGGAGGGACATCCCATGATCTTTAAGGGTGTCTGCCACAGATTCACTCCATCGTCGCCTTGGTCTTCCTCTGGCTCTCCATCCAGAATATTTAATGGTGTATGCTCTCAGAGCTGGATGGTTTGAGGGCATCCGTGTGAGGTGTCCGAACCACTTGACCCTTTGTTTTTCAATGTGTGGTAGGACTGGTGCTGCTCCCACGGTGTCCCTAATGACTTCATTTTTAATTTAAATACATGGTTACAAATACATACATGCACAAATTACATACAGATATACATACAGAATTACACAAACAATCTTACACCAATACAGAACAGTTTCACAAGAATGCCATTGCTGGTCGCCACTGTGAAGCGCCCTGTTGTTTTCGTTTTTGGTATTTTCTGTTGTTTTGTTTTTGGGTTATTTTATCTTTTTTATTTTATTTTTTTATATTTATTTATTTATTTATTTTTGGGTGGGGGGGGGGTGGGGGGGGGGGTAGGAGGGTGCAGGTTATTGTGTCTTGCTCAAGGACACACACCCCAGTGACCACCCACTTAAACCCCGTGTCACCGACACTTGCTTGACATTGCTTTTGAGTGTGAACTCACTGCTCACTTCGCCACTGGAGCCCACGCTTGGAACCTACTGCTACTCCTTGGCTCCTTCTTACTGCTGTCTTTCAGCCAAACCCCTGATCTTATGATAGGAAAGATCTACACCTGGCCTTCTCGGACAAGGGCGAAGAATCTTTGAGGTCGTGTGTGCAAGTTCATACGCACGTTAAAGATCCCTTGGTGGTCTAAAATCGATAAGAGTAGGCTTCGGCCACCACCCGGCTAAATTCAAAATTTCCAACCACCTAAAAATGTTTAATGTGTCCCGCGCGCTCATATGAAATTATGCAGTTGCGGCGAGCGCCGTAAAATACTGACATACCAAAAACAATAAAAAAGTTATGATAATAATAAAAATAATAATAAGGATGATAATTTTAAAAATAATGATAATGAGGAAAATAATAATTATTATAAAAATAAAACAAATAGTGATAATAATAAAATGATACTGATGACAATTTTAGAAAATATTAATGATAATAATACAAAATAGTTTTAACTGTAAAAATAATAATGTTAATAATGAATTAATAATAAGGAAAACAATGAAAAAATAATGATAATGATAAAAATTAACAATACAAATGTAAAATTAAAATGATAATAGTAAAAATAATAATAGTGATAACGATATAATATAAAATCATGATAATGATTTAAATCATTATATGATAATAATAAAAATAAAAATAATTAGGAAAATAACAAAATAATTATGATATTATTAATAAAAATGATAATAATGATAATGGTGAAAAAAACAATAAGGATAGTGATAAAAAATGATAATAAAAGTAATAGTAATAATGATAATAATAAAAATAATAATAGTGATAATAATAAAAAATAATATTAATTATAATAATAAAACAAAAAATAAAGATAAAAAAATAATGATAATAATAAAAATAAAAACAATGATAAGTATAAAAAGTAACAACGATAATAATAACAATAATAATAATTATTATAAATGATAACAATCATAATAAAAAATAATAATGACACTGATACAAAAAATACTAATGATAATGATAATGATAAAAATAATAATGATTATAAAATATTATTTTTAAAAAAATACGGGTACTGGAGATGGTTGGAAAATATAAAATAGAATACAGGTAGCCGAATAAAATACAACTAGTGGAGAGGGTTGGAAATATATATTAAAGTGCAGGCAGCCGAAACCGTTTTAAAATGGAAAATAAAATACAGCTAGGGGAGATGATTGTAAAATAGAAAGTAAAATACAACTAATGGAGACTGTTGGAAATTAAAACATGAAATACAGCTTTTGGAGACGGTTGGAAAATAGAAAATAAAATACAGGCGAGGGAAACGGTTTTAAAATAGAACATAAAAAACAGCTGGTGGAGACGGCTGGTAAATATATTATGAAATACAGCTAGTGGAGACGGTTGGGGAAGAGAACATAAAATACAGGAAGGGTAGAAATTTTTTTCACAGAATATAAAATACAGCTAGGGGACATTGTTGAAAAATAGCATGCATCTAGTGGGGACAGTTGGAAAAAAGAAAATAAAATACAGCTGGAGGAAATTATTTTAAATTAGAAAGTAGCATACAGCAAGTGGAGACGGTTGAAAAATATATAAATATTTTTTAAATACAGTTAAAGGAGACGGTTGGAAAATACAAAATAAAATACAGCTGGGGAAAACGGTTAAAAAAAATAATAAAATACAACCAGTGGAGACGGTTTGAAAATATATAATAAGATACAAGTAACCTAAACGTTTTTAAAATAGAAAATATAATACAGCAAGTTCAGACAGTTGAAAAATCTTTTTTTAAATACAGCTAGTGGAGACGGCTGGAAAATATACGCTGAAATACAAGTAGCCTAAACGGTTTTAAAATAGAAAATAAAATACAGCTGGTGCAGACGGTTGGAGAATAGAACATAAAAACAGGAGGTGGAAATAAAAAAAAAAAGAAAAGAAAATACAGCAAGTGGAGACAGTTTAATTTAATTTTTTTTAAACTACAGTTAGTGGAGACGATTTTTAAATAAAAAATAAAATACAGCTAATGGAGACGGCTGGAAAATTAAAAAAATAAAATACAGCTAGGCAAGACAGTTTTAAAATGAAAAAAAAAATACAGCTAGTAGAGACAGTCGGAAAGTAGAAAATAAGATACAGCTAGTGGAGACGGGTTTAGAATAAAAAATAAAATACGGGTAGTGGAGACGGTTGGAAAATAAAAGATTAAATGCAGCTAGTGGTGACCGTTGGAAAATAGAAAATAAAACGCAACTGGGGGATAACATTTTAAAATAGAAAAAAAATAAAACGCAACTGGGGGATAACATTTTAAAATAGAAAAAAAATACAGCTAGTGGAGACGGTTGGTGTTAAGTCTTGTAGGTTGTACAGGAAACTTGTAACAGCAAACTTGAACATCAATCAGGAACACAGGAGTCTCGTCTTGGGTCGAACATAACGAAGCAGTTTATTTATGATGAAAATGTAAAAAGGAACAATATGCACACAACATGTTAGATTATTTACATGATACAGAATACATGCCTTCATTAATAATTGACAATCACACGTCTCAGTCATTATCACATAGAATAATACAACACCAGCCTAATGGTAAACGGTGGCAAAGAATATGAAATACAAACATGACATATGATATGAAAATGACACAATAAACAACACGGAAGTGTTTCTACTTAGGGGAACAACTTAATAGCCAATGTCCTGCCAAGGGATGGAACCACAAGTAGGTCTAATTATTTCCCTTACATAACACCTCCCCTTCAGTCTGAAGGTATCTGAAGACTAAAGTGTTCCCAGAAGCAATCGCAACCTGAGAAATGTCAAAGTTCACAATATGTCCATGTCACGGCTGGTGACGTGTGTGTCGAGGGCGAAGTTGATCCTCATGTCGTTTCCACATCGGGCCGTCTGGTAACACACGGACCTCGTAGAGTTTGTGACCCAGGAAGGCGGTCACCACAGCTGGCTTCCATCTGTCCTTACCCCCACCTTTGTAGGAAAGCGCGAAGCATGGGCTGTCTTTGCTGAGACGACGAGCTGGCACCGGCTCATCTCGAACTCGGGATGGTAGGGGGCTCCGTGCAGGTGTAGAATGCCCCGCTGCTCACACCAGGTCTGGAACTCGGCTGACGAAAAACAGGTGGCGTTTTCCGTCACAATGGCGTGTGGATAGCCAAAGTGAGCAAAGTCCTCGTCGAGTCTCCGGGTGGTCGCCTTGGTTGTTATCGAGGACATGAGGTACTTGGAGAATGCGTCCACCATGACCATCCAGTTGTGACTTCTGAAGTTGATGGCGTGGTCAATACGGACGCGGCTCCAAGGTTCGTCGGGGGTGATCCATGGGCGAGATGGCTGCTTAGGGGGCAGCTTCTGGTGCTCGTGGCAAGCTGTGCAGTGTCGAGCGACGTTTTATGGTGCAGGTAGTTGCTGAGTCTGCACCAGTCTCCTCCCTATCAAAAGATGGATCCGCCCCTAGTGGCAATCTACGAAGGGCGTCTGCATTGCCGTGCGCTGATATCTTGCGATACTCTATGGTGACGTCGTATTGGCTCAGAGTCAGAGCCCATCTGGCAAGTCGATGTGCTGCCGGAGCTGGAATTGGCTTCGTTGGTCTAAATAGGGCAATCAGCGGCTTGTGATCTGTCACCAGGATGAAACGTCTTCCTGTGACAGTGACTTTGAGAGAAATATGACGACTGGACGGTGTCTGACTGGTAGCAACTTTGTTACGTCGCCAAAGTTACGTTTTACGGTTCACGCTTTCTCGGTGTTCTGTTCTTAGAAGAACAGCGAACAGCACGAGACGTTGATCGGCCTTTTGACACGTTTCCCTTTTCTCGCTGGTTTGTTCTAAGAAGGACACGAAACCAAACAAGACGTTGATCGGCCAAGGTTTCAAATTATGCACGCTCTCCTCCTGAAGTATGGAAG